ATAGTACCATAGAATACAAATGCTTACGTGGTTTATTCAGAGATATGTAAATTGATTGAAAACAATATTCCGGAAGAGCTCTTGATCGGCATTGAACGATTCTACGAAATAATGAAAATTTCAAATGTAACATATTATGAGTTCAAAAGGTCATATAAACCCAAACCACTTATTTTAACCACTATTTATTTATTATCGAAAAAGATCATTCACACATAATATCGTCACATGTACAGGAAGTTTTCATAAATTAAAAAAAAACAAAATATCGGCATGCATAGTACGATTAACCCACACCACTTATATTAACCTCTATTTATTCACTATCGAAAAAGATTATTCAAACATACCGTAACATACTTTCGTATTAAATCTTGTGTCAATCAATTAACATTAAATTAATTATTTCATCTGTAGTATCTTTTTCTCTAAGATAATATTGTCACGTGTACAGGAAGTTTTCAGAAATGTATAAAAAAATCAAAATATCGGTATGTGTAGTATGATTCGTTGGGAAAAATCAATTTATGAATGGAGAACTCAAATCTATCATCAGTTATATATACGTATATGTAGAGAACCCACGTGCTCGCAGCAATTCCGAATATCCATTGTGCTCCAGCATCCGCCGGCTGTGCACATCCGTTGAAAGATCACGATGATGATCCCTCAACCCTTTCCGACCACACGACGTCGCGTGGCGGCGTCAATGTTTCGGCGTACCCCGTCAACCCTAAAATCCCCATGCACCCCCGAAATGAAGGGGAAGGTTGATCGAATAATGCAGGGGCTCCTCATGTATGCGGTGGTTCAAATGTAACTATTTGGACCTAATTTTTCTTGATATATTACACTTCGATAGGATCCCAGATTTTCCAAACATGTCTCTTTATTACTTGATCTGGCACGCTTATGTCCAATTCATCAATAAATTTTCCATTTCCTTCTATATATTTCGTATTCAAAGAGTTTTCAAACACATACCAATTAATATCGATATGCTAAAATATAATACAGTACACGTAGTGAACATTAAATTTCGAAGTAATCGTATCGTGTTGGTTTTACATGTTTATGAAAAAGAATTCTATCGTGAGAAAATAAGCTGTTGTAATGGTAACTAACACTATTTCTTTTCAGTCACTTCAAAAAATAATTACTTACGTGGAGGAATTTATATGAAAAAAAATAGTAAATTGGGGAATTGAAATTGTCTTTACGTCTTCCATGTATAAAGATAGACGCTTATTTACTTTTACATTTACTACAATAGAATCATCCATACGTAGCCTTGCTCAAATATAACAGGCGACACGTGCTGGATCTTCAAGGTAGAAAATTCCGTTTGTCGTGACGATTTGAAAAATCAGAATTCAAATTAATTGAAATAAAGCGGCATTCTCTCGCACTTATTAACCTCGACTCCAGGACAATTAGCTCTAAAATCCGCACAATTGATACAATTATTCGACTAAATACTCTGGATGACCACCATAAAAATACGAATTTTGCCCCGCGTAAACGTGTGACGTACATATTGATACAATTATTCGACTAACAATAAGTACTCTGGATGACCAGCTTAAAAATACCACTAGATAAACTAGGCTAAACTAGGTTTTCTATGGGCATTTCCCTAGATTCCTGAATTTCCGATATACCGGGTATTCAAGGGGTCCCTAAGCACCCGTGGTATCCTGGGACAGACGCGTGCACAATCGCACGCATATGTATGTATCTCATACGGCAGATGGCACGGGCCCAAGCATCGAGCAGCTGCCGAAAAACTCGCCTAGCGTGACACCATGGAACGCGTATGGTATACGGGGCTCTCCCTGCCCTAGACCAACTTCTCTGCCCCTCGAGCCCATTCGTGGTTGTCGAATTGAGGACCCCATGCGTAGCTTCGGGAGGTTCGAAGCTTCAAAGGAAACCTGTTGTTGCCCCGCGCCGTTTGGCCCGTGCCGGATTGACTTCACCCTTGGCAACCACTCCGAAAGGACGCGTTGCCGGTTGCCATCTAAAACGTCCCTACTAGCACAAAATATTTCTCCTATATTTTCTATATATTTAACGAATATCCTACATCTTATAAATATTTACCAGACATTTGAAGTATTCGCAAAACGATTACTTTAGAATATTATCTCTGTAATATTTATATATAATATTACCTCCATGTGTTTTCGTTATATTTTTCTACCAGATACACGAAACATTTCGTTTGATTTTAATACAAGGATTCTTTTTTTAAATATTATCTGCCGGATACGTTGTAAAGGGTTTAAAAATATTTACAATCAAAATCACACGTTTTGCTCCCGTAATGAAATAGCGGAACGAAAGTATTAGAAAAATTTCTCGGGTTTTTTTATAGCAAATGAAGTGTTCGATAATAGTCGTGAAGTAAAAAATGTATTTTTATTATGTTCATGAGTTAGAAAATGTAATTTCTCTATATGTTTATAAATTATTGATACGAAATATGTCATTGGGATTTTCAAGAAATATTTCGGATATTTTCGAATGAAATCTACAAGAAATCTTAATCGAATTATTTTTTCGATAAATATGCTCGTCACAAAATGTTTGGTCATGTCAAAGGAATAAGTTTTAATAAATAAATAAATAAATATATATATATATATAACTCAATTTGTTAGTGTTACAAAATTTGGTAGAAACATGTTCCATTTTTCTCTAACCTATTTTGCTTCCTAATTTGCTTCTTTCTTCTATTTTGAAACCTCATTGAAGCTGTGACGCTGTTAGCTTCAAGAGCGAAATTGTAAAAACACACTTGCAAAATAATGAATGCAAAAGGTTTCAGGCTATTATTATGTTCCTCGAGAAAGAAAAGCTTGGAACCCCTTTTTGCTTTTGTTCCCTTTTGTATGCGAAACTCGTTTTCAGCTGCAAAACTCATCCGTCGGCCTCATCCCGTCTATACATCGAATATTTTTTACTAATAAGGGAGCTGGTGAGTTTGATTCATTAGCGATAACAATTTGGTTACAATGAATTTTGCTGTTTATTGTAAACCGAATTACACCACAAAAGTAAAGATAATTCCTGTTTCTAATACTAAAAAATTACATCGGAATAATTGAATGAACCAACTAACATTCGTTGAAACAGGAGCTTTTAATTTTTCAGTATCCAAGATAAACATTCACTCGTAAATTAATCAAAGAACAAAAACGATAATGTATTTGTTATTTTAAGATGTCCCTGACTAAATAGGCCGGTTTTACGCGAGTTGTTAAAATTGCTTAATTTCTATCCAAACAGCGCAAATGGATCAGATTTTGGTAAGAACTCGGTCTGTTGAAATGTTGCAGTACTCTGGGAGCACTCGTGGGAGCACCTCTGTAAATGAATGAACCGTCGCTGTGGTGACATTGTGGCCTCATGCAAATTAAATTGCAGGAACTGGCGAAAAATTGCCTTTCCTCTTTTTCCCAGAAAAGAACCCATTTATATTCGACATTTTTATAGAAACAACAACTACTCTTTGTCATTTTACAATCAGTTTGATCGTTGTTGTAGTATTCAAATGAACTGTTCTGTAGTGTTAATGCAAATCGATGGACATGCGCAATTTAGAAAACAAGAATTTTGAAATCCCTCACGAATCGCGCTTGACCGATGTGAATCTCCACCTTTTCCAAATATTGTTTTGCCTCTGTTAATTTGTTTACGTTGCCGAATGTTCGAAGATATATTCAGCTTCGAAATGACACCCCTAGTAGCATAGAATAATTTCTAAGTATTTCTTTGCAATCATTGCTAAATATCTCAAGCGACAGATTTTTTAAATACTCTGGATGACCAGCTTAAAAATACCAATTCTGTCCCACGTAAACGTGTGACGTGCATATTGATACAATTATTTGTTTAAGTACTCTTGATGACCAGCTTAAAAATACCAATTCTGTCCCACGTAAACGTGTGACGTGCATATTGATACAATTATTTGTTTAAGTACTCTGGATGACCAGCTTAAAAATAGCAGTTCTGTCCCACGTAAACGTGTAATGTCCCTTGAAAAGCAAACCGTGCAAGGTTTTCTGAGAGCCAAACGATATTTCAAGAAGACATCCGTAAAACAACCCACATTACCTAATGGGAACAGCATTTCGCGTAGCGCCCATGGCCGCGGGATTACCGAGCGGACAGAACGCGTTTGCAACAGAAAGCAGAGCCGCGCAGGGCACGAGTGCGTGAAGGAGCGAGGGGTGCGAACCTCGTCTTTCTCCGGCCAGGCAATTGTTTGGGACCTGATCGCACCACTTTTTCGGCAGCGAGCTGCAGCTGTTGCCATTTCTAGTCGGCCCATTCCCGGACCCATCCGCGCGAGATTAATCAGAGGAGCGAATCGCGCACGGGTCGGCCCCGGCACCCAAGCCTATTTCGATAAAAATATTAAATAGCGCGACCCCCCGCCTCGCCTCGGACCGTTTCGCCCCGCCCTCCAAGTACAGGGAGCCAACAATGAAGGCTTCCCTAGGCACGTGTCCGTTGGGACATTATTCCCACCACGGCACGTGCCCACCCCGTGCACAGGGTGTCCCGTTCGAAAATCATGCTCGTCCATTCTCGACGGTTCTCTACCACTCCCGACTATTTTGCGCCAACTATGCGTGCACGCGGGAACATGGACGCCATCTTGTTTACGACCTCCCTAACTTCCGAACGAAAGAAATGTTTGATTCGACGCCAGCATCCTAGCGGTTTCCGTAAGGGGAACTCAGGCAATAATCAACAGAAATAGATGGAAAGATCTCGCCATCAACTTGAACTGCCTGATAAAAAATGGGGCATTAAAAAAATCATGCTCGTTGATTTTCCACGATTCTTTACCACTCCCGACTATTTTGCGCCGACTATACGTGCACGCGGGAACATGGACGCCATCCAATATCACTGGATGTACTGATTTTCATTATTCTAGTAATGTACCTCGAAATTGTTGTTGTTTAGCACATAACGAATGGTTGTTGGCTTTGTAGGAATCTGCAATTTATTTCTCTTAACATAACAGTGGAATGACATAAAAGATAGATGTAAAAGAAAAATATTAGGTATGGTAGTAGTTATAGCCTATTCCAACCTGATTGCTTTTCTGTACATATTGCAGTCTTGCTCATGGCGAAAATTGGGTGTCATTGACGTTCAATGGAATAGTAGGCCATGGGAAAATTGAAAATTTCAATACATGGCGTTATATCTCCTTATACTACTTCGTGGTCTTGATGATCCGTAAACAATCGCGCAATTATACCTAGCGTGGAATAAAGGACATCTCACTTTGTTCTCCTCTCGTTACCACGGTGTTGGGACACTTACAGGATTTATTTCAGTCACGCCGATAGATTACATCCATGCATATTAATCAAGTACGCGATAGGTAATCTCAGCTCCCTCTTTTTCTTCTTGTCTCGCCTCGATTGCCGTCTCATCGGCGAAACAGGCCGAGGGAAAGCGGGCTTTTCAAACGTGGAGTAAACACCGATTCGCGGGTTTTATTAGTGGAAATGAAATCGACGCCCGGCCTCGGCCCTGCTTCAAGAGGAGGGTCGAGGAAATTGAAACTCCTTATTGGCAACGAGGAGAAGACGGAGATCTCCGAAGGAAGATGTAATTCAACCTTGCACTAGGACCTCGTACTCCCTATAGGATATCTCTTCGCCTCCGTAAGGGATGTAGAGCACACCGTGGCTCCTGTGTATCTGAAAGAAAAGTGGGATTTGAGTTCGACTGTGTTAAGGGGTTATACATTTTGCATAGGGGTTATATATTTGATATTTTCAAAAAATCAAAAAAAATTTACGCGTTTATTTGACGCGTTTATACTTTAAACGCCTTTTTCTTAAAACTGCATTTTAAAAATCGGCGGGCACTCTAGCTCCGTCTTGATTCTTTTTTTATTTTATTCCTGATATGTTTATCTAGCGAAATACGTATGGTTTCTTCAATGTATTGACGCTCACGTTTCATGCAACATTAATTAACGACATTTAGGGCAAAATACTTATCTTTCCTATCAAATCGATGCCATTTTGTGAGAAATGCATATTTTTGAAAACGGCTACGTATTTCGCTAGGTTTTGGGCTACAGAAATTAATTCTTTTTCTTTCATTGATGTAGCTTAAACCTGGACCGAGTTATCGTGCCCACCGCACGATCATCGATTTTCGCAGCACTCCGGTAAATCGCCTTTCAAGTCGCCAATTTTGTAAATAAAAAACAATACAAAAAAAATATTTTGTTGTTTAATAGTAGTATAATACCTTCCTGTACTTTAATTTGGATAAAAACGTTTTAATTGTTAAAAAAAAAATTCTTGAAAAACCGTAATTTTTGGGTGGGTCAACGTGGTGTAACCCCTTAAGACGGAGTGAAACCCCCCTCGCATCAGTCGACCCGAATAAGACACTTTTTTTTAAGACTGTTGAAATGTACATGTTAATATGTTAAGAGAATCTCAAATACCTTTCCGGCAACTGGCACGCCATTGTGGAAAACTCGACCCACGTAAAGAGGTTCGCCTTCGACAGTTTTTCCGGCCTTGACGGCGGTTTCCGGTACGTCGCCATTCCTTGCGGGCACCCAAAGGAAATCGGCCGGCATTAGGATCTGGAAGGGAGGAAAATCTAATGGATCGGATTCTTGAGAGAAAGGAGGAAACGGAAGTAATATATTTCACAAAAGCACGTCCTTTCGCAGAAGAGAAATCGTTAGACAATGACACGGTGAAGAATGGCTTTCTTAGAAACTGTTGCTGCGGGCGTAGAAAAGATGACAGTAACGATTGCGATAACGTCTGTCGCAGTCCTTGAAGACCACCAAGAGAGGATGTCCCCTCACAAAGTGTCGGGCACCAGGGTACTCGAATGATGAACAAGCTATTACTCTACGTGTAATCATCTCTTACGGGAATGAGTAGTGCTTCGGTAATGATGATAAACTACGACCTCTCGAAGAGCTTAGATACTTTCCACGGGTATGAAAATGTGTTAGAAATATTCCGTAGAACCAGATATAAGTACAGGTACAATAATCCCGTGCGATACTTTAACAGGAAATAAACATTTGTTTTCTTCAAAAATACAAGCCAATTATACACACACACTCCCGTCAGAGAAGACCGGGAAAAAGTAATATCTCTAAAGGGAATACGTATTTCTATTACTTTCCATGTTGTTTTATTTATTTTCTAAGCAACTCGGATGTCTTCCTTTGCGTGATTTTTCATTTGAAAAAATAGTCTAGAAATTCAAGTGTGCCCGTTTAAACGCCTCATTTTATGCCGTCGGATTTATGTGGGAAGCTGCGGATCTTTGAACCTCCTAAAAAACACCTTCAGTGTTAAAAAACATATCACCGAACACATTCATCCACACATTTGTTTCCTCATAAAACATACTCTTACGTGAAAAACTGTATCATTCCATTCCGTACGGTTTAGTATCCAACTTCATAATTCTGTCCATTATAATAATTCCACTTCCGCAGAGTAATTCGTATGATGTGACTACAGAGCATTCCAGTGTACCTTGCGTTAAGGATGCATTTTGCAATTTTATCGTTTTACCATACGGCATTGTAACAAACAATTACACCTATTTGTATTTAAAAGCACAGGCCTAGGTCGTGATTAACTTACTTCGAAGTCGTGCTTCACATGCTCAGCTCCATGATAACTAACGTAGGCTATTCCATGTTCGGGCTTCGCCTTTGCCGGAAGTATGTCTCCTTGATGCATAGCTCGTCCAACTACCAGATTTGCGCCATCCGTATCACGGCCGATGCTTACCATTCCTGGTAAACAGTATCGAGCCCCCGAAAATCTGACCCACTTGAATCCTACAGTAAAAAACGTAAGACAACAATTAAGAAGAATGAGAAACACCATAAAAGAGAAAGAAAATACTTCTTACCGCTTTAAGGGGATACATAGATTTAACGCGGTTAATTATTAATGCTCATTGCAGGTTGAATTGTAAAGATCTCGCTATCAACGTGAACACTGCCTGATAAGAAATGGGGTATTAAAAAAAAATCATGTTGTCATGTTTTAATTAAGACCATTCCTACAAATGTTCTTATTGTAAGTAAATAAATGATGTCAGGAATAGTTACTAATTTTCCTTCCGTTGGTACAATCTGAATACGGTTTGACTAATGATAACGAGAACAAGATTTACATTTTAAATGCCTTGGGAGTCACCGATGACGTACTTCTTATTTTATAAATCTACTGAAAAAAGAATATTTAACACCACTGTACACTATTCATTCTTACAGAAATTCCGAGACGATGTTGAGAAAGTAAAACTTGAGGGTTTCTATGGGAAAAGGGTATAACTCGATTTAAGAGGTCTCGGGAAATGTCTGCCATAGAATGCCTATGCCCTAGCTTGGCAGAGTGGTATTTAGAATTCATGGTCCTTTTTAACGTGATCTTCTTTATGGCAGTCGCTTTTACGGCATAAAGCGAAATAGTAGGGTGGTTTATTTCGATTTAATCTTTTTTTTTTAAGTTTAGTACTGGAAAGAATCAACTTTTTAACACCTACCCACCCAAAAAACGGATTAATGTCGTTCGGTTATAAGTCTTATTTAACATTTCCGGCTTACCGAGACACGTTTGGAAAATTCTTAAACATCGGTTTGTTACTAACCAATATCCAAGAGTGCGGCAACGTTTCCATGTGGCACCCTAGAATCACCAAAAATAAACGAAGCGACCTCAAGATTGCGGGCGGACTGCCAACTACCCTGCTACGATCTCCGAGAGAAATAAGGGAAGAGAGTCCCGGAATACATGTTAGGAATAAAGTTGATATATCGAATTTAATATCACCCCTGCATTGCCTCTATTTCCAGATCCCCTCTGACATGTAGGATCTTCGCTTTCATGGAAACAAAACAATATATCATAAATTAAGATTTTAATTGAAATAACTCTGTGGGTTGATTAAAAATTTGCAAGATACCAAGTCTCTTATTAATATTGGGGAATACATGTTGGGAATAAAGTTGATATATCGAATTTAATATCACCCCTGCATTGCCTCTATTTCCAGATCCCCTCCGACATATAGGATCTTCGCTTTCATGGAAACAAAACAATATATTATAAATTAAGATTTTAATTGAAATAACTCTGTGGGTTGATTAAAAATTTGCAAGATACCAAGTCTCTTATTAATATTGGGGAANATAAATTAATATTTTAATTGAAGTAACTCTCAGTGGGTTGATTAAAGACTTGCAAGTTACTGAGTCCCTTATTAAAATTCGCGCAAGACGTGTGCACATACAGAACCACGAGTACGTTTGAGTGAGATCAATTAAGAGATCGTGGCCTCAAACGCAGAAAATTTGCGATAAAGTCTGTAAATGTGGAAAAAAAAAAAGTATCCGAACTGTTCTAGCCTTTCTGAAGCTTATCGATCCGACATGATTCACCGGTGATATCAAGTCACGTCGTGCGATAACTTATCTTGAAGTCCGACTTCCACTTGGTCGGTTGTTACGTATTTAGAAATACCTAGAACATGAGCGTGTACTCCTTCGCCGGGTTTCGATCGCACGCCTTTCGTCGCTTAGTTGACACGATTAATATTCAGGGAATAAATGGCCTCAACGTTGTACTCTAGAATGCCAGATTGGTTGCGTTATCGCCCACACAGCCGGCTATCGTCGATAATTGATTTGTCGCTCCTACTCGAGTGATTAATTACGATGGGACATCGGTTATGCAGAATACACAACGGATAGAAGTGTCTATAAAGTCGGATAAATGGTATCATGCAAATCTGTATGAAATATAATAATTTCACCGAGGACATGGTCAACCTGAAAATGTGCAGTATGCAGTTTTAATAGTGATTTTGAGTGTCAACGTTTCTAGTTGCATCCTGACAGTGACAGTAATTTCCGGAGGAGCATGCTGTAATGCAGTAATCTTTTTCATAAACGAGGAAATTTTTTAATGCGTAGAACGGCGGAGGATATGGTTTGTTTTTTCGAGATAGGATTTGTTGGGTGGCATTTACAAAATTGCAAATGTTCCATGGATTTAATCACTTAATTTAAAGAACCAGAACATAAGGATGTCTCGTGAGGATACCTTTTTACCTGTGATCAAAAACAAAGAACTTCTCGTCAATATTTCCAGAAGAAAAGACTAATTAATGAGCAATTTTTGGATACATTTTACCATTTCAACGTTTTGCATGACGCGCAGTGGGCCTTTCATATTTATCTTGACCCATTTTCATTTTAATCGTGTATTTATGCCGTACTTAAGTACTTTTAACGCGAATGCTTCTAAAATGATTAAAAGATCGCATTTACCCTGCGAATTAACGACCGCCCATGAAAATTGATCCACATTCCGAGCAGTTTACAATGCACCTACTTTAGAGAGACTATGCATTTGTCAAACTGAAGTACACACCACGGATTAGGCATCGCGATATCTATTATCAGGCAATTGCAAATTAAAATGGACCACAACAATCGATAGACTCACCAGGCATATCATTGTTAAGCCTTCGACGATCTCCCACAAAATGGCGCACCGAAGTTCCGCCAGAACTGTGAGTTCCCTTATCATTATCGCGTTTAGGTGACAACCTTCAAAATTGATCGACTTTATCAGGTACATTCAAAGTAGGAGTGTCAAACTCGTCAACGTGTGAAAGGAAATCCTTTTAAAGCGAGATGCGCAAAAGCAAATGCTTATGAATTATGATATCTCGAGTTTGCAATGGACCACACGAAAATAACATTGTTGAAAGTCGATATCAACTAATGACATGACATTCAAGACATGATCGTATGAAGGATGATCTGTAATAAATATATCACAATGTACCTTAAATAAGTTTTTGTACAGAAAACCATCGTTTTTTATTTAACATTACTTTCTCGTCAATGGTTGGCAGATGATTCATGTTCTTGTTTAAAAGGCCGGGTTTATTAAAAGGTGGGTAAATTTCGTTGATCCAGTTTCCGGGCCGTTGCATTAATCCGCGTCGAGGACAAGGTTGCCACACAATTAGCGGCGTTATCACGGCTGAGATTAACTGCGAATCTGCGGGATTAGATGGCGAGATAGCAGGCGAGAGACTTCTCTGTGAGAAGTTGAGATCATTACGTGTTTAACCTCGATCGCCAGGCCCGACCCTGACCGTCAAGATGTGCTTTGATACGAAGCAGCGACCTGCAAGGGGACCAAAGGGAACAGGGCAAAGGAGGATTTGTTAAGGCGTTTACACGAGCTGCTCGGATTGAAACGCGATTCCGCGAGAACGTCTTCGAAAACGGGTTGTTGCCCTTCGGTGTTCATCGAGGCGGTAAGGGTATTAGGCGGGTGGCTGCTTACTGCTAGGGGGAAAATAAATTAAGCGACATTTCAGGGAAGAAAATCAAATCCCTCTGACGAATTAGGTTTACCGGACTCCTGGATTTCCCCGTAAATTCTATTCGGGCGGAATTTAGTGCTACGAGCTGGGTAATCGGGATCCTCGAGAGGGCAAAGTGTTCCCGTGGACCTTGCTCTAAAGCTCATCCGAGAGGTCCTTATTTGAAGCTCATCAAAGAATTTTGTTCCTACATACGCATAACGACGCATTTTCTCATTGCGTTTGTATATTCTCTTTGCAAGCGGAACAAATTTAAACCATGGTATGTTGTATAGTTTCTTTGTGCGACTAATGGAGAATTTAGCACAGAGGGCTCGGTAGCTGGTATCTTTTGATATGACAAGGAATTACAGTGATTCTGTCGGGCTCATTCAAAAATTAAATTTTGATATACATGTTGCTTTTTGATATACATTGATATATGTAGGTAAGCATTCGGATCAATCTATCCTAAAGATATGTGCCCATAATTATGAAAGTGGTCTAAGTCATATATTTTTTGTTTCGAAATTACATTGAATTAATTTCGTTTGAAATAATGTGGCGTGAAATAACTGATAAACTCATTTTTTTTCAATTTTGACTTAGACCGCTTTCATAATTATGGGCACATATGTATCACAAGCTTAACGCATTTTTAATATGTTCACTTTATTTCTGTACATTAATAATGAGATGAATTTTTATATTAAGAAATTTTTGACGTGACAAAATTTCAGGTAAGCTTAGCTATATTTTCATTTCTTGCGCTTTTTCGTGCAATATTGGTTGCGCCAAGAAGCAATGAAGGGTAATTGGTATTCTTCGAGGCCGAAGAGTTATTACGACTGATGCTCGGAAACTCATCCAAGTGTCAACTAGTTCCACTATTCAATTCCCGTAACAAAATTAATTTTCGTAATAAATTATTTATCAGCAGCACAAATTTTATAGTGACAGTAATTACCAGGATTACACGTAAGCGCCACAGCGATGCAATTTTGGATGGCGTGCATTAGCATCACCTTTGTGTTATCAATTATCATTTTACCTGTTTTATTGCTAACACTAAGTTGGAATAAATTATTATTAGTATTTGAAACACAGAGGAAGAAATAGGCATGACACGATAAGTTAGAAATGAGACATTACCTAGTATCATTGAAATAACGTGAACTTACCAATGCCGACGGTACTGCCAGTATTTATTTGGATATAGTTAACATCCGTCGAGCTTTGTTTTACCGTATTGGTAAGGTTGGGCCGAAAATAGGTCGCAAGTACTATGCGGACATTATCGAGAACCCATATTCTATTCTGATATAGAATCGTTTCCGTTTCTCTGGCGTCGCGCCATGGAATTGTGTCGTTACTATTTTCGAATATCCACACATCAGCTCGTAGGCACTGCGAGTGCATGAAAAGGAAAAATATCCCATCTGGTGCCTG